TGTGCTTGATAATTCCTAGTTAGCAAGCATTGGTCCTGCGCAGCAAGGATAAAACCTTCAGTTTCCGCTTTCAACCCTGCACTACGTACGGGTTTTGTCTACGTTATTATTATTATTATTATTATTATTATTATTATTATTATTATTATATACTTGAGTCTGTCTTCCATACATTTTTTACTGATTATATATGATTGCATATTCTTTTTTCTATCTAAATAAAATTCCTCTATTTTAAATACTTTTCAAAGAGCATTTTAATACACATGAAAATAACACTTTTTTGTTTATTAGACCATTAGCAACCTGTTACACGCTCTGCGACTTTCAAAATGGGTGTTTCTTTTTCTTGGATGCTAGCGTTTTGAAAATCGCAGAGCATGAAACAGGCTGTTAATGGGTAAAAAAATCAAAACATTTTTGTTATATATTAAAGACATTTTTATGTTTAACATTCTTTTTATAGATACAAGAATTTAAGTAAATGCTCTGTTTATAATAAACAGTATTAAATAACATTTACCGGCCTGAATGTCTGAGAAATTTTCATAGAAAATATTCGTCCTTTGACAGGATTCGAACCTGCATCCTATACGGAACCGTCATTTAGCTTGACGTGCCTAACTATTCGGCAGGTTCGAATCCTGTCAAAGAACGAATATTTTCTATGAAAATTTCTCGGACTTTCAGGCCGGTAAATGTTATTTAATATTGTTTATCATAAACAGAGCATTTGCTTAAATACTTGTATCTATAAATAACAACGTTAAACATAAAAAAATGTCTTTAATAAATAAATTGTCGGACCTTGTCCATTTCTTAATATATGACGTCATTTGTTTACATTTGATACGCCAGAGCAGTTATGAATGTACGAGATTCATGGAAGATTGAAGTTTATAAGCAGTAAATTCGACCTTGCCAACCGAACGATCCTTTGTGGCCGAGATGTTAGGCACGTCAGCGTAAATGGCGGTTCTGTGTAGGATGCAGGTTTGAATCCTGTCAAAGGACGAATATTTTCTGTGAAAATTTCCGGAAAATGTTATTTAATACTGTTTATTATAAACAGAGCATTTACTTAAATACTTGTATCTATAAAAAGAATGTTAAACATAAAAATGTCTTTAATAAATTGTCGGACTTTGTCCATTTTTTAATATATATATATATATATATATATATATATATGTATGTATGTGTGTGTGTGTGTGTGTGTGTGTGTGTGCATTTTTACTGTCTTTAATCTTGTTCAATCCTATCTTTTCTGGCAATTCAATTGTAATTTCATATCTTATATTTACACTATTTCCAGGATTGATTTTTTTTTCATCTTTTCTACCCAAACGAATGATTAGGTTTTCTTCCTTTCATTCTTGGCGCAGGGTTAGATTTCATGACGCGAACAAAGTTATCAAAATGTCGATCCACAAAATCCCCTGTCTCAAAATTCTCGTTAAGCAGTGTTTTTCGTTTTCTTTTTTCTTTCTTCTTTCGCCTAGACGCTATTTAATAACCAGTTGAAAACTCAGAAAAACCGTTAATTTTTCAATACATATCAAATAAAATTGCCATTTTAAAATGAGCTAAAAATAGAACGTATTTCATAGCAATCCATTTTCCTTAGTAATTCAATTTTTATATCATGTGCATATTTAAATTTTGAAAATCGTTCTGGATTTTTCTCAGAACGAGGATAAAATTCTTTATTATTCTTGACAATAAAGAAAACGCCAAATCTATCACCTCGTCGTTTAATAATGAATTCTATCTTCATGCAACTATATATCACACGAATGTGGTTTCAAATTATTTTTTTAACTATTTCAACCCAATCAAGGCGGTAAAGCCACTAAGACACAAGCGATTATAGAGTGTGAAAGAATAAGAAAAAAAAGAGAACCATTATCAAGGAGTGAGAGCAATAAAAGAAGCGGAATCAATACGACAGTAGATAACGATTGACATTGCATTTATATTTTTGAGGCTCAAAGTTTGCCGAAAAGTAAGAATAAGGAAGAGAGGCCCGCAAGCGAGATGTGTCATAGAAGAAACTGTTAGCATAGAACTTGCGGTTGCATTTAACCTTCTATTTTATTATTGCTCACGACGTCGGAAACACAAAAATGTTTCTGTTACATTCTGTTACATTTTTACCACCTTGTTATTTTGGTTATATTGCTAACGTTTCAGCAGTCTTACCCACCCACTCACCAGTCTTCATCAGATGCCTGTCATCGCACTCAGTAACCTTTTTGGAATTTTGAACCGAACCCTTTATTCAATATCTGAGGATAGATAGTTCCATGATTGTTCTCATTCAACTTTTCATATTTAGGGGAGATAACTCAGACAGGTTAATACTCAGCAGTCTTATTCACCTGTGGTCACGTTTGTCTGTTCCTTCCACTAAACCATATGATGTGAATTTTCAGCACTTCCAGCCCCAGGCATTAAATTCACAGCAACATGATGTTTAAGCCAATGCTTTAATTCTTTAGGCCATGTGTCTGAAGTAGGTAAATAACTAAAACGAGCATGCTGGTTCAAATGGTAATCGTAAAATTAGCTGTTGCCTTATAAGGAAACATTCGGTATTCATTGAGCGATCAGTAAACGTTACTATCGGTTGAAGTTTATAAAATCTTTTTTTATTAGACCGATTTTTCAGGAAATTAAACTTCACAAGTACACCAACCGTTATCATCGTTTCTAGTATTGATGGACGTTTCCTTCCTAATCTTTTGTTTAAGGTAATGTGGAAAGTCAACATGTTCATTATATTATTTTTTATTCTAGTTACATATTGTTGTAGAATAGTTTTCACAGTGGAGGCTTGTATTTCACTAAGTCGGTCCTAAATTAGGTTCGACGTACAAAACGTTAGGAACTTGAAAATAATGGTTAATGACACAGCAATCTAGTTGTGGTCGTTGATACTTCAATGTCCGACATCGACTGACTCATTCAACTCGATATTCAGTCACCCCCCCACGCCCTCACTCGGGCATCATGTGACACAAGCTCGGTTATTTATTGTGGGTTCTCCGAGCCCATCGGCTCGGCCCAAAAATATGCCCATTGAACCCGTATAAACGGGTTCAGGGCCCGCCCCGAACGAAACTCCGCCCCTCGGCGTAGCCTCGTTCAGGTTCCTCCCCGCCCGAAAGCAGAGAGTTCAACCGAACAGTCGGTTCAGAAGTGAACGACTGACTCTGATTCATTCAACTCACCGACCCCCCTGGCGACTGCTACTACTTATTATCTGTGGGAGAGTCTATTAACAATAGAATAGGTATGTTCCGGTATAACACATATGCAACCTATTTCTGTTGTTGCTGCTGGAAGTCTTCAAGGATTGCTTTTTTTGTTATTTGGTAAAGTTCTTTGTGGTTTCTACAACACCATTCGCTAAAATCTGATGAAGAGTTGTTTTTTTTAAAGACCGGGAATATTCTTTGAAGGCGATTTTAATCATTAATCTGAGAAAACGATGGTATATAGCTGATAATTCTGAACGCCATTCATTACATCCATGTGGTTCTAGCAAATGATAATTCTTAATCTGAAAAATTCTGTCAAAAATTTACAAATCGGTACGGACCCGATGTGAACGTATAATGGAGAAAACAATGAGAAAAACTCTATTAAAAATATGCTTTTCTAATAAATTTATTTTTGCTTGTTCAAAAGAACGTGAAAACATGTTATACAATAGTTCATGAAAACCATCATTAGTTTTATTAGCGGATCCTTACACATCTATTGGTCAGGAACTTTGGTCGAAATAAAGATCTTGCTTAAGGCACAGTGAAGTGAATGGATAGAGGCTCGGATTGGGGAATCGGAGAGCCGAATTCAAATTCATTACATTCAATTGTATGAATCCTCTTCTCAAAAGCTATGGGTAAATAGCAGGACAGACCGGGTTTTAAAGTCTTGGATGGCGACTGGTCTACTGTAGAAAGAAATGGCAACCTACTGCGGAAACAAATCTGCCTTGTCAGTCATGTATCGAAAGATATCACGCATGGTACATAACTGACTGATTGCTTAAGGTATTTCTATCGCAGTGTGCAAACATGATTGCAAATTCCTGTTACGGCCCTTCTCCAAATTTGGTCAACTCTGTAATTTAACGATAGCTGGGGCGAGAAGAGATGAATTCATACCATTGACAGGATTTAGAATATTAAATTATTTTTTTTTATACGCGCAAATGTATATTAAAAAAATAATTTAATATTCTAATTTTAAACAAATTCAGCTGGAATTCGAACCCATTTCTCATTCCGAGCAGATATCCATTACACCACTCGCACATTGATACTTAATCCGGTAATGTATATTTCATGCATTTTCTATCTATCTTTCTATATGTTTATGTACGTGTAAAATTCCCAGTATGATTTAAGGGTTACCAATATTGACGAGCGGGGTTCGAACCTTAACTCAAGTTCACCTTATGTGGATTCCGAGATGAAATCCGGTCTCAAATGAATGACAAACGCAGGAATGAAATATAGCAAATAAATGTATTGACGTAATAATACAATTGGTAATACAGTTAGTAGATCCAGAAATGCGGTTAGTAGCAATAATAATATATATACAGTTTGGGAAATTCAGTATCAAATTAGGACTTCCTTCTGAGTTTACGTGCTCGCAACTGTGACTCCTACAAAGCGGTTACCTCACACTCTTACTCTCTCTATTACTCTACCTCTCGGGTATTCACCGACAGCAGAACGAATACACACTGGTCGAGTCCACTTGTATGAAAAAGAGGTGGACCCCATAACAGTTTACATTTAGGTATTCGCATTATACCTTTGAAAAATGGACTTCAGGCGTTTCTCTCTACACTCTGTCTCCTCGTTTTATGTCTTGACAAATTATTTCATTACTGACTAGTTATGGGAGAGTAGTCTGTTATGATAGCAACAAAAATCTCTTCTCGCTCCCACACACACATAGAAGTGTGGACGTAAGTCTGTTCTATGCTTGAAGACATTCTTCAAGGTCCGAAGATTGCGTTATATCAAGCCATAAAACTATATTTTATCGTGTATATATGTGTGTTTTAAACAATAAAAAATGTTAAGAAATTAAAATCTTCAGACACACTGGGTTGTATATTAATATTCTTTCGTTTTTATTATTTCAATTAGATTCCTCGACTAGTTTCAGCCAACATGGCCATCATCATCAGAAAACAAAAATTCTGCTTGTTAGTAGCAGTGAACAACAGAAATGAATAACTTGATTGAGAAAATGAATTTTATCTGTAGTTTTCATTTGTTTTTTTTTATTCTTTTATTTGTTATCATGAATTTTGGTCAGTCCTTATGTTGGTCAAACTCACTTTTAAGTTGTTATTTATGATAAGAGCTGGATGGATTCATGCTGTTCTGAATTCCCTTGGTCATTTTGACAGTTTTATTGGTTCCTGGAAAGGGGATGTGTCTGTTAAATGTGTGTTATTTGGTTCTTAGTGAGTGAGTGAGTATGATGTGTGTAAGTGTGTATATTAGTATGGGTGTGTGTGTGTGTGTGTAGATTTGTGAGACCTCAGCACCTCCGTAGCTATGTCTGTCTTGTGTGGGTCATAAATGTGGGTAGGGCCTGATTTGTGGGGTTATATATTAATTCTATCTATGTTGTTAAATTTGAGATTAAGCCCGTCTGGATGGAGCGTTTTAGGCAGAAAATCCACTTATCTTCATGGTCTTCTAAAATTTTCTAATGCTATGTGCTCTGAACTTTTCTATTTTCTCAATTATAGTGAATCGTGATTTGTAGTCAAAAATTTTGTTCTACAGGTAATAATCCTTCTTTCTTTCTTTCTTTATATATATATATATATATATATATATTTGTGTGTGTGTTTGTTTTTGTGTGTGTGTGTGTGTGTATATATATATATATATATATATATATACTCACGCGTACATACGAGTCCATGTACGGGTAATATGCACTATGCACATATATGTTTATACAGATATTTTAACTAAATAAATTGCAATATACAATTACTGAACGTCTCCTCAACTTCTTGTTTTTATGTACAAGACAGAAAATCTCCATTAAAATTAAAAAATAGAAAACACATAAATATAAACAATACAAAGAGTCGTCGTCGTAATAGCAGAATAATAATAACAATAATAATAATAATAATAGTAGTAATGAATTCATGATGATGATAATAATAATAATGATAAAACGTCATATAAAGTGCAAAGGGGAAAAAGAGGAAAGTTTAAAGAAAAGAAGTAGGAGTATTTTATAAAAGTTAGTCAAAGAGAGGGGTGGAGGGAAGGAGAGGCAAGAAATCTGAGATAGCGAGAGAGAGAGAGAGAGAGAGAGAGATAAAGAGGAGTAATCAGAGGAAGATCTTCCTACAGTTTCAGAATTGATTGCTAAATCAATTGCCCTGTTGATTTGAAATAGATAAAAATACCAACAACAGTAGTAAATACATAAAAAGAGAAAATCTTGTGGGAGTTTCCAGTAATTTGAGCGACTTTTTTAAGTGCACGGCGGAAAATCGTCAAAAGGAAAAAAAAAATAAATGCCAAGCGAGAAGAAAAATAAAATGAAAAAAAAAAAAAGGTAAAAAATAAAAAAAATAAAAAAACGAACCATGCAAAAATGTGGAAGAAAGTTTTAAGAAAATTAAATCAAATAAGTTAAGGAAGATATTTAATATCTTCCTTGTTAACTAGATATTTAAGATAAACAAAATTAAAAAAAAAAACACTGAAAGTAAGATATTTGAGTAGAATTACTACCAAGCTTCTTTCACACTTCTAATCTCGAGTATAAACAATTTATCTATATACTAGAGTATAAACATAACCAATATCTGCTTATAGGCCAGAGTATAAACAATTGTTTACCTATAAACTCGAGCATAAAACAAGCAATTTTTCATATAAACTCGACTATAAACAACAAAATTCTTACCTATAAACTCGAGTATAAACAACTAATTTTAACTTATAAACTCGAGTATAAACGCAACTAAATTTTTTCTATAGACTCATGTATAAAAACAACCAAATCGTTCCTATAGACTTAAGTATAAACCCGAACAATCTTTATCTCTGGACTCAGGTATAATTAAATATGATTTCAATATCAAATTAACCATCAATGATTGATTTGTTGCAAAATTTACTATTAACTAACGAAGTACACAAGGACAATGTTCCGTACATTTTGTACATTGCGATAAAACAAAGTCTTAATTCTTTCACATTCAGCATTTTCTAAATTACTAATCATAATTTTTTCAATGTTCGTTATTATTTCGAATGATGCGTTTATCGAGGCCTGTTGAACAATATTTTGTGCATCAACTTATTACACATGTCCGTCAGCTGATAGCGATGAACTGAATATTCTTGCTATTTTAAAAGGTCTAAATAATACCAATACATGTGCTTTAATGATGACCGGCTTTTGTGGGGACTTGATAAATATAGAACTGTTATGGTTGAAGAATAGGTGTTAACACTGGATTCAGGCCAATCAACGATTCACCGCCATTTGCAACAACTCGAAGCCATACTTAAACTTGAAAAATGGGTTCGCTAGCCATTAATAGAAACTAAACTTAAATCAAAAGCGGACATTTCTAATTCTTTGCCTACACGGGAATGTATCGCCCACGCCATTTTTTTTCTCTTCTTTTGACAAAATAATTACGAAAACTGAATATTTTAAAAGAATGTAAAATGACGTAGACGATGGTTTATTGAAGATAAACAGATTATGCACAACCCAAAATGGACTGGACATTAAAAAAAAAAGAAAAGAATTGGGAACAGGTGTAGCGGGATTGCTTTGGTAACTACGACCGGTTAATATTAACAGTTCTGTAATTTTCTACTGTCAGCTGTTAGAGCGTTACAACATAGCTTGTGAGGAAAAGAGACCCAATTTGACCAGTCACAAATGTGTGGATTTCCTACATGATACATGCCCCTATATAGTTTGCATTTGACGTCAACTGGAGAAAAAATTATTTTCCAAATCTTACTCCATCTGATTACCATTTAATTTTAAATTACAGATCTATATTGATTGATTGATTCTTAAAATGGATGACAGCTCCTCTCTATTCCATTCTTCTAAACCAAAACAATTTCAGAAAAAAAAATAGTAATTTCGGAACTTACATAAAAGAGGGATTGCTGCCCAAATACACAATTATATATATATATATATATATATATATATATATATATATATATATGTATATATGAGAACTAATCAAATGTAAATTCCAACGTTCGTAAAATTAAGTTAAAAGAGTGCTCAATACAAACTAGAGCTGTATGCTTTACTAACGCCTGATCGAAACATGATTGCATTTATGCAGCGTTTTTCTTATGTCGATGTAATATTCTAATATAATATCTATCTATCTATCTATCTATCTATCTATATATATATATATATATATATATATATATATATATATATAAAAATATATAGTCTGGATATCGCGTGAGTGTGAAACTCGGGTTACGACTAGGACCATCCTTTCATAGGAATTAACTTAAGCAAGCGTTTTTTATTCTACCTAGGCTTTGACCAATTTACAGAGTAGGTAGGAACGATTATATATATATATATATATATATATATATATGGGGTTTGGGTGTGTGTCTGTTGTTTCGCAAAGTCTAGGAAGCTTGTTTTGCAGACTGTTTGCTTACTTAATGATTCCAGTCTTCGTTTGGTTACGCGTTACCGTGAATCGCATATTGTCCGGTTCACACTCCCCACCCCGGTCGTTTCAACAGGAGTAGAGGTTTATCCCTCGTGCCCTATTTAGGACTGGGTTTTCCATTCCTTCTGGGGTTCTTTCACTCCCAGTAGCTCTTTGATTCTTATTAGCGTTGCTTCTTATTACATTGCTTGGGGGTGAACTGATTAAAAAAACAAAAAACAAAAAAAACATAAAAACAAAACACTATATCTAACTTTTGGGTCCCAGCGTCAGTCTTTCTGTGTTGGTGATTAACGCTCTCCTGATTTCCCAGTGTACAGGTAAGTAGGAAGATGTAGATAACTAAAAAAAAAATGCTTGTGGTAGACAGGTGTGTGTGTGTGTGTATGTGTGATAGGCATCCCTAACCTTGAGATGTGAGATAGCGGTATTAGATTGGGGAGAGTAACATACAACTATGCGCACTTACAATCAATAAGCAACATTCTCAGAGGAAGAGAAAATGAAGGTGTAGGTGCGCCGAAGGTGTGAGGGGTGGGTGGCAGTGAACTTTTATAGTTGCTCTCCTTTCGACACATTTATGAAAGAAATACCAACGTCGCTGTATTTGTCTGTGCGTGTCTGTATGTGCGCACGTGTGTATCTGCAATTGTCCTATACTAAATGATTATTGGCCGTTTTATATCTGCGTACACGCATTCATGGGTTTCTATTACACA